TTTTTACAAAAAATTCCAAAAAATTTAATATTTTTTATTTAAAAAAAAGTATATGCCTTTTTTTATATACGGCAGATATTCGGAATAATTTTTTAAATTAAAATTTTATGGATATGGGCTTGTAATAGTAATAGTGTAAAGTCCTAAAACAAAAATTAGTTACATACAACTTTTTTTTCCAACAAGACACAGATAATATTATTTTTATCAGTTAAAAAACTTTTTTTGTGTCAGTTTTTAATTATTAGAAAAAAAATTATTTTCTTTTTTCATTTTTAAGAAAATTTCTGATTTATTTTTAATTTTCATTAAAAAATCCACCTCGAATCGTTTTTCTAATGCCCTAAAGAAACTATGTATAAGTTTTAAGCAAATCGGAGGTGAGATCCAATCGCAACAATAACTCTTTATTTAGTAAAATTTATAGATTAGGTCTTACTAACAAATTTGCCTTAAACAGTAAGTATAGTAAGTTTAAGTTAATTCAAGTATTAAGACAGAATGTGTGTGTAGATTTATTCAGAACATATTCATATTCAAAATTGCAAAGCGTAGAATGGAAATTTATTGCACGTCAAATTTTACTATTTGGCAGCACTCAAATTTACTTTACATCAGCACAAACTGACACTACTTTAACTCAAAGGAATGTGTCCTACCTTTTAACAATCACACACACGAAATTGTTTAACTCGCTGCATCCACTTCATCCTCCTGATTGCGCACACCCATTAATTCCTGCACGATTTTGTACTCATGACATTGCACACATACCAGACGTCCATTGGACTTGTTTGCGCGCTGCGTTTTATCATGACAGACAATATGCACCAGTTTTAGATTTTTCAAAGAGAATATTTCTAAAAAATATTCCAACACAGAAATGTCAATAACGCGCTTATTATGCAACGTGCATTTGCGTTGCGGATGCTCAACCAGCTCGCGCACATTCTCAATTAAAGCGGGCAATATGGAACGCGACAGCTCGATTTGATGATCTAAATTCCACACTTGGAAGAGTATTAAATTCTCACGTGATGCATATGGGTTAATGGTGTGTTTGAGCGCGCAACAATTGCCGTTATCCGAGTAGCTGCCTTGGCAGTAGAAATCGCCTAGCTCAGTGCAGAGTGATACCGACCATTCGTCTAGTATTTTATGGCGTGCCGTGTACTCCTTGATGACCTGACGCAATCGTTTATTTGGTAGCATTGCACTGGCATCTGTTTCATCGTCGAGTTGTTGTTGTAAAATTGCATGTTTTTTCGGACACTTGCGATCGAATAGCATGGAGAAGTAATCACAACCGATTAGCAAATAGCGGAATTGTTCTAGCACTGCATCGATTATGTGACGTGCTTTTAGATTTTGGCGATACAGTTTATTGCGCGTCAGTTCCTCCTTCGTTTTGTAGTAGTAGCTACGCATGCGATCTTGTGCACGACGCGCCATGGCCTCTTCCTTGGAATGGCAACGTTCCTCTTGTCCCTCAAACCACTCGCTGTGTTGTGTCCGCAGACTAAGTTCGGTTTTGCTTTGGTATGCCTGTTTGTTGCTGTCGAGCGCTTGTTGACGACAAATCTTACGATTTTCATAATCCGTTATCATTTTGCGAAATTGTTCGGGATTTTGTTCAATGAATTCATAAATGATATCGGCAACACGGAGTAGGGGTGAGTTTTGGCGCAGTTTTTCGAATTCAAAGTCGGCATCTGTAAGTGGGATGTGTTAGTAAAATTAATTAAAATATTTTTTTTTTTTTTTATATACGCACCTGTTGTTATAATCTCATCCGGCCCAGCTATAATGAAAAGTGTTTGAGGCGCCAATGTTTGAAAGTAATCATCATCAGATACTTCAAAGCCATCAATAGAAATATACAACCGTAAGTCTTTAATCTGTAAGCAAGTAGCAATTACATACATACATACAAATGTCCATCAATGTCATGCCAAGAAAAAATAAAAGTTAAATAGTGTCAAGTGAGCAATTGAAGGACATGACCTACGGTTTGTTTGCATTTAAGACCCTGGCCGAGATAAGAACGCCGCCCCACAATGATAACAACACTATGCAGACCATATATGCCAAAAGGTCACAAGGCCATGTGAGCAGCAGCAGTATAAGGAATACACCAAATGTGTAAAACAAAATAATAAAGTTTATTGGCCTTGAACGAGTATTTCACAGAGTTGCCAATTGCAAGTACAACGTCAACAAGGACATGAAAATTTGTGCAACAGTACACTGGTACACTGCTGCAGTTTAAGTTTTTTGCAGATCAACAATCTGACAACCCTACTGGCATACGTTCAAGGATACACGCACAGCTGTCATGAATGAATGTGTGCTTACAGCTGGCGTCCTTCATAGTGTTCCCACACATTCACGCTTCAATGCTACATCAAAAGCAGCAACAGGTTGTATTGCTCACTGATTTTGCTCACAACCACTGCTTAGTAGTTGTTGTCTGCGAATTTTGCGCGCCCGGTTGAGGGTCATGCGCACGACGCCTTGACATTGAATTCATCAATTGGAAATAAAAAATACACTTTATTTGTGCACAATAATAAAATTCTTGGAAACTGCCTTGCCATTGTATTTGCTTTTTTTTCACATAGGGCTCCTAGCGCTACGAAACGGCCTAGAACTATTAATTGGCCGTTTTGGCACTGGCAATGGCATTGGATACTGTTTGAGTGTAGGTGGAGTGGGTGGTTGCAGATACGCTGAGCATCCAGCGTGTATTCAATGAAAACGTACGACGCAATTTCCATAAATACATCAAATATTTATATTTACTCACAGGAAACTTTAGTTTCGCCTTATCCTTTAGAGTTTGTAGTGAATTAGCGCCAATGCCAAATTTTTTAGAACGTTCGTTGTCTGTTATTTTGTAGCCTTTAATTGATGGAGGTGCTGTAGTTTGCATGGCACAATTTTCACTGATTCCAAGTTTACCACAGACACCGCCATCTTTATTGTCTTCAGATTTTACGCTACGCGTTGTAGGAGCCATTACGTCTTTGAAAAAGTTCAGCATACTGAAAATTTTAATGCACACAATAAATTCATCTACTAAGGTAAATTCTGAAAACTAATTTACCTTGCCACTTCCTTACTTGGCGCTTGCCAAAAACGATTGCACTGTCCTCCACGAATACCAATAGCGCAAACAAATTGACTTTTTCTCTAAGCTGTTCCACTGAATTTGCGCTGTTTTGATTTGCAATGGAGTCGGCCGTTCTGTATGTCAGCAAGAATGAAAAACGTCAAATTGGAGAAATAACACTAAGAAGAATTGTTGCATCCACTGCGCCTGCACTCTCTTTCATCAAAAAAATTTTTGTTTGTTTACATTTTTGTTGCTGCAAAATGCACTGATTGGATGTTGGCGTTTTGAGAGAGCGAATATTTACACAGCAGGGTTGCAACTTTAAGATATTTTCATTGCAATATTTGGAAAACAAAAGAAAAAATGTTTACTGTTAATTTATGCATTGTATAAATGTACTCTACAAGACGGGTGAAAGTTAAGTAACTGGTCATCGACAGGTTTTCAGTAATTAATAACTTCGTTATCCGTTAGGATATTTTTGTTCTAGCCTCGAGAAAAATGTAACCGTTTCGCCACTTTCAGTACACGTCAGTGTTATTAGCTTACTCGCTCTCGCTCATTTATTTACGCATCCTTTGGTTAGCGATCTTTTACTGAAAATCGTTTGTTTGGTTGTTGTTATGGTCATCCATGTGTTACAGAAAACTGGTCAATAGGTCAATTGTTTCGTTATTCATTGGTAACAGAAAACTGAAACATAATTGTGTATTATATAAATTTATCCAATCAGCTTGTCGTTATGCTTTCATATTTAACGCCGTTCTCCAACACTGCAAACAAGAGGAGTATGCAAAGGAAAATTGAATAATCAGCTGTTGAGTAATTTGACATTCGCAAATTCGTAAATGCGAACACAACCAATTAAAAGATGTGCAAAGTGGAATCAAGCGTGCGTGATGAAAAATATTTATCCATAATAAATTGTATGAAAGTCTAAAACAATGACAAAAAATATAACATAAAAGTGGAACTTAAATAGCGAGTAATGTGAAGGAAGGCAAATATGCACATTAAAATTACGTTTCATGTGTGAAAATTACGAAGAAATTTAACAAAGATGTGCCACGCAATCGCGACGGGTGAAGTCATTGCAATCATATACATATGTACTTATATTGCTAACTAATCTTCAACAAGTATTCAATAATTGAAAAGTAATAAGAGAAGAGTTACAAAATTCAACTGATATTACTATCGCCACAATCAATCTGCCATAATATAAGAAATAATTAATTGAAATTAAAAGTAAATGAACGTTCGCCCTGAACAGGTGTATTTTTGGTATGAATGGATAATGCTGTATTCAATATATACACCTCAAAACCTGTTTTTAAAAGGTATATGTGTATGAAGAAAAAACTGCAATAATAATTGCAAGTTAAAGACCTTTCGCAGTACTTTCAATTGTTCTTCTTTGTGTGTGGTATTGCACCTTTCGTGGTGTCGTGGCTACAAAAAATTAAAAGTTTTATATAGCTTTTGAAATAAACGAATTTATGTTTTTAATAACTTCCTTAAATGATGACATCTGATATTTTTGTTTGAATTGAACAGTACAGATTTATTATGAAAGAAATACTTTTGTTTTTATCAAACTAAAGGTCCAGTTGTTGTTGTTGTTGTTTTAACGGTTATCAGCCCCCATTGGGATGGTGATAGCCATCTGTGTTGTCGTCGATGTCATCTAACGGGAGGCCCAGGAAACGTGCTGTTTCGACGGGGTCGGACCAGAGGGAAAAGGGTGTTAGATGGGTGGGGTTGGTTGAGCATGCAAAGAGGTGGTCAGTGTCATTCGGAGACTCGTTGCATGCAGGACATACGTTGGGTATGTCTGGGTCTATTCTGGATAGGTAGGAGTTTAACCTGCTACAATATCCAGAACGAAGTTGCGCAAGGGTCCAGTAAAGTGTAACGTTTAGTTAGTTCGTAAATTAAAGAAGTTGCAGTTCATACTTCTAATCCTCAGATCTCATTTTTATTAAAAATAAATTATAGAAAACTATACATTTTGTATACCATAGTGTTCTAAAATTTATAAGTGTCAAAGATTCAAATATGATCACTGTCTAGTACTAATTGATTAAACAATTTTAGTTAAAAATTTTTGCTATTATCTTTTTCAATATTACTAACAAAATACTTTCGCTTATTCAAGTATTTAAAAATTAACATTAAAAAAGCATTGGAAATATTAAATTTCCATAAAGTTCGTCAATAAATGAATGAGCTAAAGAGAATTTAACTGTTAACTGACATTCAAGCGAGAAAAAAAAAAAACGAAGTGAGAAAATAAAAGCACATCAACGAGGCTGGCATCAGCAGCCTCCAGTTCATCAATGCCACCACTTGTGCGCGTTCAAAATAATAGAAATACAACAACAACCTAGCAATTGGCATAAATTGCAAAAGCAAATAAAATATATAGCAAGGCAATAAACGAGACCATGCTGAGCATTGCTGATGCACATTTAAATTACTAACGCGGGCAATTAAAAACAGAACTGCGTTGCGCGGAAAGCGGCAGCAGCCAATATACGGCACCAAGTGATGAAGTACTGAGCGTCGACACCGGCAGCTGCAGCAGTAAAACGGCGAGTGTTGGCAGTGCAAATCAGCGAAAGAACTATGGTGATGTTAAAAATATACGCTCACGCTAGAAATACGTCAATAAACGGAAAAAGTGAAAAAGCTAATAGCGCAACAAACGCACAGTATAGCCTGTATAAATACTAAAAAACCAAACAAACTCAAAGTCAATTGGATTAAAAATTGTTACATGCTCTCCAAATAGCCAAACAAATAAACGACGCGTGTGCCCGAAAAAAGACCACACGACGACCAAAATACCGCTCTCTGCGTTTTATTATACAATATTTAAATTAAATCAACGCTCTCTGCCTCCAGCTCTCTATTTTTGGTATTTTCGTATTTCTTTTTTCTACGCATACTTTATTGTTGCTGTTGTTTTTTTTTGTTGTCAAAAACTTTTTGTGCGTTCTGTGCATGCACTAACACACTGCTATGGTGGCCGATAGCGAATTACAGTTACGCGATTTCGATGGCGAAACCGAAGACTCTGACTCCGAGACTGAATTGCTCATACGCCACAGTGGACGCGGTGGTGCGCGCCAACCAACGAAACGCGGCAGCATTGCCACCTCACGGTACTATCTCCATGATTACTCAACAGCAACACAGCCGACGGCGGCGGCCGCATCGTCGTTGTCGGCTACCAACATAGCGACGGGCTTCCTTAGCAATTTGTTTGGCAACACAACGAACAGTCTTGGCCGCACTGCCGGGCAAGTACGTCTCAGAAATGAACGTAGTCGCGAGCGCGATAAATACGCCGCCTCGAGAGCAAGAACGCAACAAATACAAGAGCAACAACAACAATACCAGCGACAGCAAGCTAGAACAACGGCACTTAGTTTTGGCGGTTTCAATACGGGATTGGGTACGTCTGCGAAACTGGCGAAATTGGCACAGACAACGCAAACGTCGTATCGCGTTAGCGGTGGCGACGGTGCGTCGAGCGGTTTTGATGCGGCGGCACACGGTGTCACCGAGTCTGTAGCGATGGGCGTACGTAGTAGTGGTAGTGGCCAAAGTGGTGCACATAGACGTTATGATGCGACGTGCGCCACAAGCGCGACGAGTGAAAGTGTTAGCGGGGGTGGCGGTATGGGTGGTGGCGCGGGTGTTGTGCTACAACAGACAGTATTGGATGCTGAGAACGGTTCGACGACCGTCTACTACCAGAAGAATCGGCGACGCAGTAAACGCAGATCGTTGGTGAATCTGTGCAAAATGTGCCTGTGCGGGTGAGTATCTACTTACCTCTATGAGTTCAAAAAATCTACATACGTATGTTCATAACTGTGTGTGCAAGAAAAGTTGTTTGGAAAAATACAGAAAAAGCTGCGCATAATTTTACTTTCCCTTATTTATTTACGCGGACGCGAAGTGGCTGCCACACACAAACATAGTACATAGGTACATGTGATATTTTCCTGTGTGTGTATATGTGACTTTAATACATCTGCGATGTAAATGACCCGATATTATAATTTTTTATAGCTCGTAAAACAAGCTATAAAAACGCCTTAGTGTGAGTTCATCGCCAAAAACCGTAATAATCTTAGTAACAACAATTGTTAACAACGAATAGCGAGTGTTACTCATTAGCGTGTTCCAAAATTATGTGAGAATTTGTTGTTAAATAATTATACAAATAAAAGCAGTGAAAAAATGGTGTGCTACTTTCGAGTGCTTACATATCTACATAACAGCAAAACTCAATAAGAAAAAACATAACATAAAAACACACAGAAGCAAGTGTTTAAAAAATATCAAAAAAAAAAAAAAAAAAAAAGAATTGTTCGTGGAAAAAATGTGCTATAATAAATTATTAAAAATAACCGCGCACTGTGTGAATGTGAATTGTTTATATGCCGCAAGTTGGGAATATCAGAAAATGAGCGAAAATATCAATGGTGTGAATTGTGTTGTGGTTTATTGCAAAAATTTTCAGTTTAAATTGAAGATAATTTGATCTCAAAAACAAGCATATATAGTATATCAATATATCAAAAAATAAAATTATATAACAAAAAAAAAAAAATAAATAAATAAAGAAAAAACAATATGTATAAACAAATAAAATATATAAAAATTTTTAAGAATAATTTAATATTTGCTTTTCTAATGGCAACCCATATAAAATGACCAAAAATATTAAGTAACAAAGTTAAAGTTAGTTAAATAATTGTTGAAAGCTTTTAAAAATATATTTTTTTGCTATAATTTTATAGCAGTGTACTAAACACATAAAAGTTTATTAACGTTTTTTACAAAGTTTATGAAAATGTAAAAAATTTCAATTGTTTACACTTGTCATATTGCTATAATTTTATAGCAAATAAAGCCCTGCTGAAAACAAAAGTTTTTAGACTTTTAAACTTCTCATTTTTACAACAATGTTCATCACTTTGAACATGCTATAATTTTATAGCAAGCTTTTCAAGCACAAAGTACCGCTTTGGTGTGGACTTACATATATGTTATAAAAATGCGTAAAAACTAAAGATGTGCAATAAAATGTAAATGAAATTTAGTTTATTGAAATTTATATAATTTTGATAATAAACAAAATTTTAATTAATATTAATAAGAATTAATAATGTTATATTAATGGTGCTACTTATAATTATTACTATAATTAAAGCAAGCTAAAATTATTGCGAATATTAAAGTTTTTATTAGAGCTTCTTAAAAAGTTGCTGAAAACAAAAGAAACTTTTTTTCTTTCAACAAGTTACTATAATTTTCTAGTATGTTTAAAGTCGTTTAAAATAATAGTAATATTTATGCTAAATTAACAGTCACTAGTTTTTTCAACAAATTGATTAGTTTTGAACGTACTACAAATTTATAGCAAAATTTTTTAAGCACACAATATTAAAGCATGTGCAAAACACCATAAAACGAGAATTAACTTTTAATTTTTTTACTTGCTATAATTTTCTAGCACAAAATGTTCAAACATGTGCAAAAAGGCATGAAATGTGAATTATTTTTTTATGTTTTTACTTGCTATAATTTTATAGCAAACTTTTTTTTTAACACTAAATGATAAAAACTGTGAAAAAAGGCTTGAAATGTGAATTATTTTTTTATTTTTTGACATTCAATAATTTTATAGCAAATTTTTTAATTACAAAGTGTCAAAAAAAATTGCATGAAACGCATAAAAACTGCAAATAAACTTAATTTTATTTTGAAACTCTAAATTCAATACAAAATACATTGATAATTTTACCATAATCTCATGATGAATAATAACTAAACTCAATTTTAATTATTATTTTTTTTTCATTCTCTTCTCAAATAATTAATTTTAGCATATAATAATTGTTAATTTTTATGAACTATCGCTAACAGCGTGAATTTATTTACAAATGTGCACAGCTCCAGTTTATGGCGGTCTGAGTCGAAATTCTGTTTACTATTAAAATACGCTAATATTTTTCGTTGATTTGTTTTTGTGGTACGTACATACATATGTTTATTTTTAAATACCAACGCAATCTAAGCTCGGCATCTCTGTGCATGTATGTATGTGTGTGCGTGCGTGTATTAAAATCCAGTTGGGCCTGTTTCTCGTGGCAATGAAATTTTGTTACACTCACGTTTTCGGCGTTCTTTCAAATGCCGCTTATGTGTATTTGTTGTTGCCATTGAATTTTTTACATTTCGTTAATTTTTATTTGATTTCCAAATCTCGATTTTATTTTCAGTCTCAAGGTCGAAGCAGCACATAGTAATTGCTGGCAAGATTTATGTATGTATGTGTGAATATGTTCGAAAATGAGTTTATCCGAGTTTTTTTGATGAATTTCATGCATTCAACTTAACAAAAAAAAAGTGTATATATGTACATTTGTACATATGTATGTATTTTTTTTATCAGCTTGGGGTATTAGTTAGTCCCGCCGTCACGTCAGTAAATCGCCGATTTTGAAAGCAATTTAAAATAATTTAGCGTTATAAAGCATGAAGTAACTATACAAAATACCCCACACGTACTATGACAATCTAAAAATCCAAGAAAAAAAAACGCAAAACAATTCGCATAACAAAAAAATTAACCCTCGCTAATGTTTCATGCTTTCGTGAGCTGTGCTTTCGTTTGCTTCCTCTGCCAACAGTTAAAATTTAAAAGTTTTGCCCATTTGCTGTCTACCTTTGTGTGGCACATTCTAATCGCTGGCGCAAATCGTTAAACTATACTTCGTCGTGTTGTTGTTGTTGTTAAGCGTTTCGGTGCTTGAACCTGGCCTAATGGTTAAATTAAACTACAAAAACAAACAGCACAAAAAAAAAAAAAAATATCTAAAAAGCTTATTTAAAGCAACAAAAGAAAAAAAACTATGCGTACAAACAACATTGGCTACAACAACAACAAAACGCATATTGCTACATTCGCATTTCGTATTTGTACCACATTTTTACCCCATCGTCGTCTACAAACTGTGTAAGTCCATTGTTCAGCTGCAGAAGTCGTCGGAACCGAAATGTGAAGATAAACAATGTGCTGTGTGCTTTGCGCAATAACAAAAACAATACTTGTGTGTGCATGTGTGTAGAAAAGTTTCGCTGACGTTGGCGCGTCTAAAACACGACTTTTGCAAAGCTTCTATCGCTGAAGCCGGTTGTGTGCGACAGTGGTGTGAATGGCGAAATATTTTCGATAAATAGTGTACGAGAAGAGATAGAACATTTCTAGACTCATAAAAAAGCTTTAGGTTCTCAGTTGATCCGATCGTAGCTCTTCAGCTACATTTCCCATTTGAGATTGGGTTACATCCTCAAGCTCTGCTATCGTCTGTCTCTTTTATCTGGCAGAAAAATCATTAGGAAATAGATTTTAAGGCGCTCAGAGTACCCAATAACGGGATCAACCGGGACCGGGTCCATTCCAGTTACATAGACCCGACTGTCGTGGGAACGGTCGTCGGGTGGTTAAAGGTCTAAATACCGTCTGTGAACTAACCGAAGGGTACTTCAGCGTGGTATCCAACTAGGCGAATAGAAGCGACTTAGCTCAGGTAAAATTGAAATGGCTTAGGTATAAGATTCCAAATGTGCTCTACCCTCATTTGGAGGCTCTTGTCTTCAACCTGTTGATAAGGCAAAAAACCTACGGCTTCTCGTTATTAGAAAAAAAATCATGGAGACCAAATGAGAAGGGAGGTAAAGAAGTCATCGGTTGACGTATATTGCTATAGTGTAGCTATAGAGAAAAGGAGCGGATTTCCAAGTTGACGCTTTAGAGAAAAGTCGCTGAATTAAAAGCGAAGTGAGCTTTTTCGCGGTTGCGTCCAAGCTAGGAGAGGGATTTTTCTGTAAGAAGCTCTCCGTCAACTTAAGACCTGGGATACCTGAGATTTTTCACAGGTGTTTCAAAGCTAGGAGGGAAAGGTGGAGGGGAATTTTTCTGTAAGAAGCTTTTCGTCAACCTTAGCTTTAGGCTACTTCACTGTTCTTCAGGCAGAAGTGCCTGCTATTAAGACAGCGATAGACGCACTGCTACCAAGTATAACATTTTTCAAGACGGTAAGCATTCACTCTGACAGCAGAGCGGAAATCCTAGCGCTGATTCGCTAACCGTGGGCTCAAAACTTGTCAAGCTGATGTCACTCTAGTAGTAGCATGAAGCTCTATCATCTTCAGACTCGCTTAGGCACCAGGTCATAGCGGAATCGCTGGCAACTGCAAAGCAGATGAGTTAGCCAGAGGAAATACTCTTCTCGGCTCATATCGAAATGGGATCGAGTTCGATCTCCATTGGCGCCTTGCGTGCTAGAACCTGTTCGACTGCGATGTCCTTCCTCCCTTCTCCACTAACATCGCAGTGGTAACGAGTTGGATCTCCATAGACATCTTGGACCTCGCGTGGGCTTAACGCTGGTCGAACGCAAGAAAATTACTTAACTGCTTACACTGAGCAAAGTTCATCTTTTCACAATTATAGGAGTTTTTACTGGTTACCTACCAATAGGCATTCATGCGGTTAAGCTGAAAATCTTGTTGAACGCTAGTTATAATATTGTATGGTGGAGAGTTAGGTGGAAGCATCCAAATACTAACTCCTTCATTGTCTAGACTTTGCAAGACTGAAGTTGAAACACATTAGCCGTCCGAACGAGTTGCGTTCGGCTCAACCGCTTTTTCGATTTGCTTTATGATGTATTAAGTATATAGGAGTTATAGGTAACACAATGGGCTGGAGTGCCAAGTAAGATCCCTGTTAGGATCGATC